TAAAACAACTTTTAGCAAGGACTTGCCTTCAAAATAACTAAATATTATCTGTCAATAAAATGTTTAAATGGTGTACTGAAAATATAACAGGTATTAAATTCAATAGAAATTCTGAAAGGTTTTAGCAAAAGTAAATAGTTTGGTTGCACAATGTCAATCAGCAATTCAAATTTCTGAGCAAGAATTTGAAGAAATATCATTAAATTTTGAAATGTTTAACAAAAAGATTTAGACTACTATTTTAAAAGCAAGATTTATTATCTATAATTTTATTTTTAACATTCTTTTATTGTAATTGAGATTTATATCTTGGCTTTTTTTGAGTTTCAAAATTATTCATATATTGTAAAAATATAAGCCTTTATGTTCGGATATTTTTATTTTAAAATTTATTTTTTAAATTTCTTGTTTAAAAAAGAATAAATGAACAATTATAAAGATATTGACTATATTAACAAATTCAAAAAGGCTGATAAGATTTCCAAAATCCTACTTTGATAGAAAGTTTAAGTTATCACAGCAGCTAAAAGACATCCCCAAATTTTTTTTTCTGTATCTTTTCTGTATTCTTCTTATTTTGAAGATACATTCTTAAAAATTTCAAGTGTTAAATTTATTGGACACATCAAGTGTTACATTTATTGGTTAATTCTCAATTCTTAAATGGATCTAATATTAAAATTTCAAGATTGGCTTTTTTAGGAGGGTGTAACTTCTATAGATTTGAACCAATATTACAAAACTTATCATTAATGATGACTACCACCTATATTCTCACAAAATAAAATAATTTTCACATTTGCTTGTGTATTCTGATTTTATTTGCTTTATTAATATTGAAGATTTTCTTCAAATATTTTTTTATAACTTTTAAGTACAAGATTGCCAAAAGTAATTACTTTTGTAAAATAACTATTTTTTCTTCTTCAAAGGTTGAGGTAGATTACTGCAATCAGATTGATTTTTAAGTATTTAAGATAGTTGGTTTTTTATTTATATGGATTTAAAAAATAGACTTTTTATGAAAAAGACAATAAACAACGCGAAATAAGCTAAGACATTAATTTTTAAATTGAATTAATTTTAGAATGTTTTAAGATGAGTTGAAATTTTTGAGAAATTCTTTTACCACAAAATCTACAGGTGTAAATTTCAAAAGAATCTGAGATAGCCACTCAGGAAATTTTCAAATAATTGGCTCATTTTATATGGAATGACCCTATATTATATAGGATGTCAAGTTTACCTTGTGGCATTTGTCATAAATCTGTTTCAAGTAATTACAAAACAATACAATGCAATTCTTGCAATGGATCCATACTAAATGTAATTAATAATAGCTACATTTATCTTATGTCAGAAACAGGCAACTCTTCAAGTCTTGCTTATATAAATATATTAACATTCTATATTGATGACCTTAGATGTCTGTTAGCATTTATGAAAAACAAACCAAAAATGATTGCAATATTTTAGACTCATTTAAAACAAAATGGCAACAGACAAAATTTCATTAGAAAAAGAGGATTTGAGAAAAGATATAGCATTTAATTTATAGTTTTTTTTTTTGCAAAACTATAAAATTTTGAATAAATAGAGGATTTTTTTAAATGTTTCCACACTTGTGTGGTTTAGACAGGTTTCAATAATGCCTTTTTTATGTTAAGTAAAATGGATTTGCTAAAGTAATGTTTTGCAATTCAATGTCCATTTAGGCATTAACCAATTTGCATGACCTGCAGATAAAGGAATTTAAATGACCTGCAAATTAAGGAATGCAAATGTAGACCTGCATTTGCATACCTTAATTTTTAGCGTCTTTGCTTTCTTGAAATTCAGTATTGAATATATTAAATGCGTAGTGGTGTAGTGGTAGAACACTCGGTTCTTAAACAAGAAGAGCCTTACCGGGAAGCGCCTGTGGTTGCACAACTTGTTTGTCCACGTTTGAAGTAATTTTTTTAGACACATTGACCACGGCAGTTTGCATCTTTTAACTTTTTAGTCATTTAATATTTTAGCATTTAATAATTTGCATTAAAAAGCTAAACTTATTAACTGAGTAAAAAAAACAACAATAAAGAAGTAAACAAATTCGTAACAAAATATTAAATTTAAATTAAATACTCTAGAAATATTTAGAAATTTGAAATAAAAAAATTTAAAAAACATTTTTCTCTAAATTTTTACACAACTTTTGTATTTTTTTAGGGTGGTTGTTATTTTTAGCAAAAGAAACTTATACAAGTTGAGGAAAGAAACATTTTATAACAATTTAATAACAATTGAAAATTTTGATATGCAACTTATTCATGATTTTTATCAGCCCATATAATTAAGAAATTTTATAATTTGAATAATAAATTTTGTAATTAAAAAAATTAAATAAAAGAATTGCATGTTTTTTTTTTATAAATGTATTTACCACATTTGATGCCTGTCTGAAATTGTTTCCTTTATATTGCCAAATTATTTAAAACTAATACAAAATACTAGAGATAATGAACATGATTGTGTGTTTAAAAAAATGTGTTTAAAAACTTAAATTTTAAAAAAAACTTCTAAAAATTTTGTTAAAAAAGTTCAGTAAACTACAAAAGGCTAGTCCACAACCTTTTGGAGCAACCCTAATAACAATAGTTCATCAGGAAAAAAACTATTGGGTTTAAATGCACAATTTGGAGAATCCAACAGAAATGCAGACTATTTTAACAGGGGTAGTGAAAACAACCAAATATTTTATATTTGAATATTAGAATTAATGGCTTTTTTTTTTTTTTACATGAAAAACTTGTTAAAAAATTAAAAAAATATTTTCTACAAATAAATAGCATTTAGTTTTCTTGCTATCCTGCTTTCATCGATAAAAACAGTAAAGTTTAGCAAAAACATTTTTGAAAAAAACTTTAAATTTGTCCATATTTCTAGCACAAATAATTTCCATAATATGCTGACTAACAAAAGCCACAAATAAATTGTATATCAAAGAATGTTTTTATTTTTGTTATATTTTTATCTGCTTTTTCCTCGAGATGTATTAATTTTGGTAGCGGAAAATAACAAACACCCTAAAAAAAAAGAAAACTAAAACAGTAAAACATTTAGGTTTTTTTTTTTTAACATAAAAACACCAAGTTGTCTAAAAAAATTACTTTAAACGTGGACAAACAAACCATGAGACTGCACACGATTCCCAGGAAGGCTTGCATATGTTTAAAACTTTTTAAAACATGTATGTAAAAAACGCTTAAAAAACTCAATAAGAATCCTAAACATGACCTTGCATGTTTAGTTCATTGGCTAAGATCTTTTTTAAGTTATTTTGTAAAGGTTTTTAAAATAAAATTTTAAAAATCTTAACAAAAAGACCTAAACACACATGTTTTAAAATGTGAAATCGATAAAATTTGTAGATAATTCTTATACTTTATATGCTAAAAATCCTGAAACTATCTCTAGTAATTTAAAAACCAAGAACATCTACTGTTATGCTCTTTGTGTGCAAAGTCAGTATTTTGTTCTAATATTTATATTTATTTTTAAACAAATTCACTACATAAATTTTTTTAATTTAAATTTTTAAACATTGTTAATACAACCCACTCTTAAAACTGTAGTTCATCAATATAAACTAAAAACATACTAAAGTAAAAAACTCAGTTTTAAAAAAATTGAAACAAGTAATTCAATTTTTTTTTTTATTATCATTAAGTTAAGTTTCTAAGAAAAATCAATTAATGTAACACTTGATATATAAATATAGAAATATTGTATTATTCAAACCGTATTAGTTGGGATATTTAAAATATTGCTATAAAGCAAACAATGATATGGACTTACATGAGCTACTGACACATGAAACAAAATTAATGATCATTAACAATGATAGAACAAGTAACCAAACTAAACTAACTTGTATAAATGCACATAATTTGTTTCACATAAAGAACCAAATATTTTTATTTTGCTTTCAATCCAGTAAGTTTTTCACTCTATCCATTTAAATTTTTTCTTAGAAAACTACTTTAAAAAGTTAGTTTATTAATATAAAAAATCTCTGATGTTTTTTATTACAAGTTTCCAGTGCAACTTCTTTCCCAATTAGATCCAATTAGTTTCACAGCTAGCTTTAACTCTGCACTTAAATTTTTTTTGGATTTTTTTCTCCAGTTAATTCAGAGAACAAATTAGTCTTTAATAAAGTAGTCTATAAAGGGTCAGGAGAATTTGTTGGGCAATGATTTTTTTCAATAAATCTAAAAAAATGATTGTTACACAATTTCGGAGAAAGTTTGTAAGTATGAGGTTTGGTAACCACCTTACTAAAACATCTAATCATCTCTAAATAAGTTATTTTCTGTCATCTAGAACTTCATCAATATATTGTGATGATTTACTGTGTCATTATTTAATTCAACCAAAAACATGTCTTCTGAACAAACTTCCAACCATAATTTAATACCATGATTTTTATCAGCATCAACATAATTTGGAGACTTGATTATTTTGACAGTTAAATATTTTATTGAAAACATTTTCTTGCCAGAAAAAAAAAATCTCAAAGATTGTTTTTTCGAAAAATTGTAATGAACGTAAATCAAAAAAGAAACTATTTTTATATAGCTTTTAAAGCATTTTCTTAATTTAAAGACGTAAAGATAATTATTGATTTGTAACAAAAAAAAAACAAGCAGCAAAACTAAGCATGTAAAGCATAATAAAAAAAGTTAATATTTAACTGAAAAAGAATAACATAAAAATATATATATATATATATCAAAAAAAATGTTACATTTTTAGGGTTTTAACTTTTATAGTTAAAAGTACAAAACAAAAATCTTTTAATCAAAAAAACATGAGAAAAACAATTAACATAAAAAAAAAAAAAAAAATATTTTTACAACTCTGTAACAAAGTACTTGACTTTTTGAAATGTTTTGTGTCACAAAACATTTCAGAAGTAAATGTTAAGTAATTTTAAATAAATCAAACATAATTACCTTTCTTAGAAGAAGTTCTGGTAGAACTTTCTGGTGAACTCGAAGTTTCTAAATGATTCAATTTTATTATAAACTTTTTAATTTTATTTTTTTTTGAGCAAAGAAACACAAAAACTGGATAAAATAACAAATGTAAAAAACAATGTATAGTTCTTGTTAGCAAATCTTTTAATACTAGCAATAGCAAAATATTAGTTGACAATAAAAACTTTATTTAAATAACATTAAATGACATTAACAAACAAAATTTTATTTAAATAGCATTAAATGACATTTTATTAACAAACTGAATTAAATTCAAATGCAAAAACATTATTTTCTTAACAATATTTTATGTGGAAATGCTACAAAAGTTGTAAAACTTTTATGGTTCAACAAAGTTAATTTCTTTTAAACTTTTTGCTAAAAATAATAAATATTACTTAAATAAGTGGTTTTAAACAATATAGATATGAAATCTATGAAAAAAGTAGTGAGAAAATAAGATGTTTAAAACTAAAAGTTCTTAGTAAAAACAGAACTAAATATTTAAACATAGCTTTTTTTTAACAATTGAGGAAACCATTTGCAAAACGCTATAAGTCCGAGTAAATTGATTTCGAGAAATTGAAGGAAAACGTGCCCAAGCTTAATTAGCGCTACAAAAAAATTGTGTTAAATTTACGCTATTGTAATTTTAATCATTATAGAGACAATTAAATAAAAAAAAATTAATTAAAAAAAAAGTAGAGAAACGTGAAAAAAAATGCAGCTCTTTAGGATTTTGAAATAAACGTTGTTGAAAAATTTAATTTAATTTGAATATTTCAGATGTACTTAGATTATTTTGAAAATATTTGGTTGAATTCAGATGGATTGTTTGCTTATTAAAACTATTTGAAATGTTTTGAAGGAATTAATTTGCACAAATTATAAACTTCTTTATAATTATATTATAAAAAAGGTATTGGAAAAGGAAATTTAAAACAAAGGGAATGAAGAAAAGACTATAATAAAAACCTAGTTTTTTATTAAGAAATTGATCTTTAACAGAACAAAATTTAAAAAAGATAAATACATCAAAAAGTTAAATATGTCTGTATACAGCATCTTCATCAATACAGCTGCATGTAGTATCTTCCTCGTCTTCTACGCGTTTTTCTATTATAAAGAATCATTAACAATACGTTTTAAAAAATTAAAACGATTATCTTGCTCCCAATTCACTCCTGCATGCACAAGAATCAAACTTTTGATATTTTTCTTTTTAACCTCTGCAACTGGGACTTATTAACAATACGTTTTAAAAAATAATAATGATTATCTTGATCCAAATTCACTCCTGCATGCACAAGAATCAAAACTTTTGATTTCTTTCTTTTTAGTCTCTGCAACTGTGACTCCTTTCTGGATCTGAGATGGACAAGATAAACAATCATGGCCTCTTTTTGTTATAATTTGAGGACTGTTAAGAAAAACTTTGAAATTTGGTTCTCCTTGGACTTTAATATTTTTAAGCAATCTTCTTGTCATAAAAAAGCGTTTATTTTCCTGAATTTTGATTGGCAATGGCTTTTTCAAAACTCTTAAAGTTACTGATTTGAAATTCAACACATTCCAGTCTTTTCCTGCAATTTTCACTGTTCCCTGCGTACTGTAAACATTATAGTACTCTTCTGGAGAATATATTCTTTCAATTTTTTTCAACTTTTTTTCCAAAGTTCCAAAAACACGACAATCAAAAGGCAAAAATGTATGTCCTCGAACAGGAAACAATTGTTTTTACTAATATCAGTGCATGTCTTAACAGCCATATGTCTTAAGAGCCATTTTTCTCTAAATTTTTATACAACTTTTGTATTTTTTTAGGGTGGTTGTTATTTTTAGCAAAAGAAACTTATACAAGTTGAGGAAAGAAACATTTTATAACAATTTAATAACAATTGAAAATTTTGATATGCAACTTATTCATGATTTTTATCAGCCCATATAATTTAGAAATTAATTTGCTATGTATGCTGGAACTATGAGAAATTTTGTTAATTTTTCTTTTTTGCGTTTATATATCTTTTGGTTTTTAAAAATGACTTTGCTATATTTGACATTTTTTCTCAATACTTGAGTATTATGAAAATAAGAAAATAAATTTATTTGTTTACTATCTATTTTTAATTTTATTATTTGAATAATAAATTTTGTAATTAAAAAAATTAAATAAAAGAATTGCATGTTTTTTTTTATAAATGTATTTACCACATTTGATGCCTGTCTGAAATTGTTTTCTTTATATTGCTAAATTATTTAAAACTAATACAAAATACTAGAGATAATGAACATGATTGTTTGTTTAAAAAAATGTGTTTAAAAAAACTTCTTTTGTTAAAAAAGTTCAGTAAACTACAAAGCACTAGTCCACAACCTTTTGGAGCAACGCTAATAAAAATAGTTCATCAGGAAAAAAACTATTGGATTTAAATGCACAATTTGGAGAATCCAACAAAAATGCAGACTATTTCATTAGGGGTAGTGAAAACAACCAAATGTTTTATATTTGAATATTAGAATTAATGACTTTCTTTTTTTTTACATGACAAACTTGTTAAAAAATTAAAAAAAATTTTTTTACAAATAAATAGCATTTAGTTATCTTGATTTCCTGTATTCATCGATAAAAACAAAAAGGTTAGCAAAAACATTTTTGAAAAAAACTTTGAATTTGTCCATATTTCTAGTGCAAATAATTTCCTTAATATGCTGACTAACAAAAGCTACAAATAAATTGTATATCAAAGAATGTTTTTATTTTTGTTATATTCTTATCTGCTTTTTCCTCGAGTTGTAATAATTTTGGCAGTGGAAAATGACAAACACTCTAAAAAAAAGAAAACAAAAACAGTAAAACATTTAGGTTTTTTTTTTTTTTTTTTAAATTTTTTTCAGATTCTTTAAAAACTTATTATATAAAAACATCAAGTCGTCTAAAAATTTTACTTTAAATGTGAACAAACAAAGCATGAGACTGCACACCAGGGTTACATGGTTTTAACCAAATGCATTAAACCATTGGTTTAAACCATGGTTTAAACCAATTAAAAAAATATTGGTTTAAACCAAACTCATGTTTTTTTAAAAAGATTTAAACTTACAACAGGAAACTAAGACAGGGTTATGTTCACAAATATAACTAATCTTCAATATAGATATATTTTTTTAAATCCATGATTTTTTTTTGTTTTTTTTTTTAATTTTTCAATATGCTTCATCCAGGATACACTTTACCTAATAGAACTCAAATTGGAGGAGAAATATTAGGTAGGGTTTACACAGAAGAAATTGAAAAATGTAATGTATTGAATGGGAAAATTGCAGCCATGTCTTCAGGTGGCTGGAGTAATGTACATAATGAAGCTATAGTTTGTATCTCTGTAATTACAGATAAAATTAACATTTTAGTAGAAACAATCAACACTTCTGATCATTCACGTACTGGTGAATATCTTACACAGTTAGCAAGAGAAGCAATAGACTTTGTAAGGCATAAATTTGGATGCACAGTAAAAAGCTTTGTGACTGACAATGCAGCTAATATGAAATTAATGAGACAAGTATTGTCATCTGAAAGAGATATTATCATAACATATGGGTGTGCTGCTCATATGCTGAATCTTTTAGCAAATGATCTGAACATTGAAAATATAAACAAGCATGTTACACAAATAATAAAATATATAAGAAATAATCATCTTTCTGATTAGATCTGATTAGAAAATGACGCTGCCTTGAATTTCGCAGATAAAGAGTTCAAGAATTTGTTACCAATATTATTCAAATTAAAAGCCAAATCTATTATAACATAATGGATATTGAAAGTTTATTAAATGCACCAGCTTCTAGTGCTGGAATTGAAAAAATTTTTTCAACTTTTGGTCTTGTCCATTCTAAGTTAAGAAACAAATGGGGGGGGGGGGAGTAGAAAAAGCAGCAAAGCTTGCATTTATATATAAAACATTAAACAATGATATATTGAATAATTTTGATGAAATATAACAATAATATTGATAAAGAATATAGTTTACTCAAATAAAATACGTAATGTTTTTTTCAATTTAAAAGGATAACTAAATACTGCATTTTTTTAGTAAAAATCTAATTTAAACCAAAAAAACCATGGTTTTTTTTGGTTTTTTAAAAAAAAATGTTTTTTTTTTGCAACCCTGCTACAAACGCTTCCCAGGAAGACTTGTATAAACTTTCTAAAACATCATTTTGCTTATGATACTAATTATTGTATGTAAAAAACGCTTAAAAAACTCAATAAGAATCCTAAACATGACCTTGCATGTTTAGTTCATTGGCTAAGATCTTTTTTAAGTTATTTTTAAGTTTACTTTTAAGTTATTTTGTGAAGGTTTTTAAAATAAAAATTTAAAAAACTTAACAAAAAGACCTAAACACACATGTTTTAAACTGTGAAATCGATAAAATTTGTAGATAATTCTTATACTTTTCAGGCAACTGTACATGAAAAATCCTGAAACTAATAATTTAAAAACCAAGAACATCTACTGTTATGCTCTTTGTGTGCAAAGTCAGTATTTTCTTCTAATATTTATTATTTATTTTTAAACAAATTCACTACATAAATTTTTTAAATTTAAATTTCTAAACATTGTTGATACAACCCCCTCTTAAAACTATAGTTCATCAATATAAACTAAAAACATACTAAAGTAAAAAACTCAGTTTTAAAAAAATTGAAATAACTAATTCAATTTTTTTTTTATTATCACTAAGTTAAGTTTTTAAGAAAAATCAATTAATGTAGCATTTGATATATGAATATAACAAAATTGTTTTATTCAAACAGTATTAGGAATATTATTAAAAATATTGCTATAAAGCAAACATTGATATGGATTTACATGAACTACTGACACATAAAACAAAATTAATGATCAGTAACAATGATAGAACAAGTAACCAAACTAAGCTAACTTGTATAAATGCACATAATTTGTTTCACATAAAGAACCAAACTTTTTTTTTTTGCTTTCAATCCAATTTCAAATCAAAATTTTACATTTTTAGGGTTTTACCTTTTATAGTTTAAAGTACAAAAAAAAAATCTTTAATTCAAAAAGACATGAGAAAAATATTTAACATAAAAAAAATATATATATATATTATTTTTACAACACTGTAATGAAGTACTTGACATTTATATGTTTTGTGTCACAAAACATTTCAGAAGTAAATGTTGAGTAATTTTAAATAAATCAAACTTAATAACCTTTCTTAGAAGAAGTTCTGGTAGAACTTTCTGGTGAACTCAAAGTTTCTAAATGATTCAATTTTATTATAAAATTTATAATTTCATTCTTTTTTGAGCAAAGAAACACAAAAACTGGATAAAATAACAAATGTAAAAAACAATGTATAGTTCTTGTTTACAAATCTTTTTTTAACTAGCAATAGCAAAATATTAGTTGACAATAAAAATTTTATTTAAATAACATTAAATGACATTAACAAACAAAATTTTATTTAAATAGCATTAAATGACATTTTATTAACAAACTGAATTAAATTCAAATGCAAAAAAAATATTTTCTCAACAATATTTTATGTAAAAATGCTACGAAAGTTATAAAACTTTTATGGTTTACAAAGTTAATTTCTTTTTAACTTTTTGTTAAAAATAATTAATATTACTTAAATAAGTGGTTTTAAACAATATAGAATTGAAACCTATGAAAAAAGTACTGAGAAAATAAGAAACATGAAACTTAAAGTTCTTAGTAAAAACAGAACTTAATACCTAAAGATAGTAAACTTTTTAGTTAAAAATTACTATTATTACTTAAATAAGTTATGGTTTGGAACATATTGTTCAAAACCATAAACCTTATTTAAGTAATAATTGAAACCTAAGAAAAAGGTGTTAAGAAAATAATAAATAAATAACTAAAATTATAAGTAATAATAAGTCATTAATAAAAACAGAGCTAAATGCCTAAATATAGTTTTAATTAAATGTTATTTTTTAGTTAACAATAATTATTACTTATATTAGTTATGGTTTTGAACATATTGTTCAAAATCATGTTTTTTATCAACTTGCATCCAGCATGTCTGCAAGTAACCACTACATAAGTTGAGACCATAAAACAACAAATAATTTCTAAGAGAAAGAAAACAGTTGACAGAAGACTTAAAATACTGATTTTTCTAAAAGTCAGGAAAAAATAAAAAAAGGAGAGAATTCCAATGCATTGATGCACAAGTAAAGAATCTAGATTAATAAAAAAAAAAAATTTTCAAAACATGAAGATATGTGTTTGAGTTTAAGTAACATCTTTACTTCTAAAGAAAAAAAAAAAGTAAAAAATTGCAACATTGTTGAATCATGAGTAATGCAAGCTTAAGTTATGGTTGATGGAACAAATAATGGAAGTAAATAACTTGTTTGATTAAAATAGTTTTTGTAGAAAAGAGATGCAACGCTACAACTATGGATAAGTGTTTGATTGACAGAGTTTTCAAAATCAACAGCAACTGGGTGAGTTTTCATCTAGATAGTCCTATCACATTAAACTTAGTTATTAAAATCATAAAACAACATAATCTTTTGTAAAACTTCTTGGTAATTATTTTATAAAAATGAAACTATTGTAACTATAAAGCAAAATAACAATTAACATCGAATTCCAAACTTCAAGGTAAAAAAAAAAATTTTTTTTTTAAACACTTTTGAATAGTCACAGTAAAAGACTTGAATAAGGAATAAAAAAAAGATTGAATTTTAGTAGATGGTACAAGAGACACTAGCTATTTAGAGCAGTACATTATATCATAGTATTTATAAAAAAAAGAGGATTTTTATTAGAAAAAAACTGAACTAAGTACCTAAGGATTTTTTTAAACTTTTTAGTTAACAATAATTATTATTATTTAAATAAGTTTTGAACATATTGTTCAAAACCATAAAACTTATTTAAGTAATAATTGAAACCTAAGAAAATAAAAAATAACTAAATGTTCTTAGTAAAAACAGAGATAAATCCCTAAATAAAGTTGTATTCAATGCTATTTTCAAATCAAATCTGTTTCAAATATACAAATATAGTTTAACTTAATGCTATTTTTTAATTAAAATATTTTTAAATCAAATACATAAATATAGTTTTATTTAATGGTATATTTTTTTAAATCAAAAACATTGTCTTTGAGCAAAACCTCTTTAACAAGTAGACAACTTGAAAAATATCAATTTAAACATTTAGTATATAGAAGTGCCACAAACCTTGATTTACACTTCAAATTCAAAAACATTTTTTTTATCAACTCGTATATAATATATCTGCAAGTAACCACTATGTAAGTTGGGGCCATAAAACAACAAATAATTGTTAAGAGAAAGAAAAGAGTTTTCATAAGACTTAAAAAACTGATTTTTCTAATAGTAAGGAAAAAATTAAGGTAGGAGAGAATTCGAAAGCATTGATGTGCAAGAAAAGGATAAATGAAAAAGAAAAAAAGTTTTAAAACATAAAGAAATGTGTTTCAGTTTAAGCAGTATCTTTACTTCTGAAGAAAAAAAAGTAAAAAATTAAATGAAAAAGAAAAAAAGTTTTAAAACATAAAGAAATGTGTTTCAGTTTAAGCAGTATCTTTACTTCTGAAGAAAAAAAAGTAAAAAATTACAACTGTGTTAAATGGTTGAGTTATGGTTGTTAAGTGGAAATAAATGGAGTAATTTGTTTGACCATAATAGTATTTGTAGAAAAGAGATGCAACGCTACAATTATTGGTAAGTGGTTGATTGACAAAGTTTTCAAAATCAAAAGCAATTAGAGTTTTCATCTAGATGCTATAGAAATTAAATAAATTATTCACAAAATCCTAATTTATTAAATCTAAATAATAAAACCATAAAACATCATAATCTTTTGTAAAATTTTTTGGTTATTATTTTTTTTAATTGTAACTATGGTAACTATAAAGCAAAATAACAATTAACATCGAATTCCAAATAACTGATGTTCAAGGAAAAAAAAATTGACAAAACGTTTTTTTTGAAACACTTATTATTTTTTTTTGAAATACTTAGGATGAGAATCTGGAACAATAAAATGGTAAGAAGAATAAAGAGATGCAACCTTAGCAGATGCTAATTTTGCAGCGGATTTGATATATACTTTTCAAGAAAGATCACCAGTATAGGTTAATCCTAGATGAAGAAGGCTAGGTTACTCATCAAGTACATTACTGTTCATAAATATAGGAAGATCTAGATTGTTGTGATAACAATTAGCTTAAAAGTGACCTGAGAATACCTTTGGCTATTCTCAGGTCACAACTCCTGAAGAATTTTTTTGGTATGGAAAATATGGAAGTAATGGTTACGATTAGAAACTGCAGCAGTACAATAAGAGGAAAACTATGGAGAAGAGTTGGAATTGGCTTGACTTGGAATTGTTAAGAGGTAATAAAAGTTTCCATGCCAGCCTAAATTTAAGAAGTTACAAAAAAAAAACATTTGTCAGCAGGAAAACGAAAGATTTCTACCCAAGGCCCATCACAAAGAAATTCACGGAAAGAAACTCAGTAAGCTTTATGGTAGTTGTAAGAGTTACGATGAAATAAAATGGGAGAACCTGTCGATGGAAAAGAATTAAATAGTAGTTTTAGAGAGATCAACCATGATCAGAAGCAATTGAGGATTGCTTCTGATTACAGTGTGAACTTTGCAAGAGATAAGACTCAACAGAAAAAAATTTACTTTGAATGATAGATTTAGAGAACTTAATAATAAAAGTGCTTTTTTGTGTGGTCAAGTAGCCAAAACAAAATAATTTTTTCTTTGGCAACTACATAGCTGTTAATATGTTTTGAAAATTTTAACATTTCAAAAATGCGCTGAAAAAACTAATCTAGACTTAACAAATAAAAAACTTTAAAATTATCTAAATTTAAACTAAGAAAAGAAATCCTAACAATAGAATAAATAAAAAAACTAAAACACAAAAATTAAAAATAACTCAAAAAACTAAAATTTTAATATTATTTAAGTTTTTTTTATTATAAATTTTTTTTATTATTTTTATCTTTATCTAAATCTTTTATCTTGAATGTTTTTATAATATTATGGGAAACTCTTTTAAATAAAGTAACAACTTACTTTTATTACGATTATATTTATTACAAATAATTTTATAAAAACAAGACCTTCAACAACAACTGTGTTGTTGTTGAAGGTCTATATATATATATTATTATATATATTATTAGTTATAGTTTTTTAAATAAAATCTACTTAACATTAAAAAATTTAAAAAATAAAACTAAAAACTTTCTTTTGATAAACGATCAATAAAAGTAAATCTTAAGTTTTGCTAATATAAAAAAATTTGATTGAAAATAAAAATTTGATGTCAAAATGTTTCATACATACATGGAAACATACATAAACTTGTACGTTCTTTAAACATCTAAAAAGCCAAATTATAACAAATAAATATAATTTGTATTTTTATGCTAATTCAGCTCCCCAAGGCTATAAAGGCCACTACAGTTGAGAGGCTACATTAATTTTGTTAAAAACCTTATAATCTGTACTCCAAAACATAAACCTTAACAAATAAGGCTGCTGCGCAGAAAAACAAGTTGAAAAACAAGTAAAAAAAACACCATGTTTTTTTTTACTTATTTCAAAACTCTAAGTTTTTATACAAAGTAAAAAAAAAAAAAGATTTTTTAACTTCTTTTTAAATCATTAAATGTTTTGTTTTAACATTTTTTTACATTTAATTGTTGAAACCAATAATAAAAATAAAGTCTTTAAAATGTTAAATAAAGTAAACAATTCTTTTAATAAATCTTCTTATTGCTTTTGGATGAAACATATCTCTTCATAATCAGATTACTTATAACATTTCCTCTAAGATTATTTTTTAAGTAAGGGGCATACATATACACAAGCTTGTGGAGTTGAGCCCGATCCGCAAAGCCGCTGTTTTTTAATGAAGCCGCAAAAATCCAGTGACTCTGGGCTCTCGTGTTTTTTCAAAGGAGCAGAATGTATGTTTTTTTACAGTAGAAAAATTTCATTTATTCATTGTTTAACTAATTTTTTGAATGTAAAAATTTATGTTACAAAAAAGAACAATTTGTATGACAACAACAAACATCTGAATTTTCAGGGGACTTGCTCTTGCAAATGACTCAGAAGAAGATCTTCTATTGTTCATAACCTTATAATAAAAAATTAGAAATCAAAAAAATGTAAAAACCAAGTTAAAAAGTTGTCAAGAAAAACAGGATTTACAAACTTATAATAAAGTTTTATGCCAAACATACTTTCTTATGCCATAAAATGTTACACCATTCTTTTACCTTAGAACTGCCTCTTTGCAATTTTTTGTGACCTAGTACATGGTTTCTTAGTTACTTAAAAGAAAAAACTTTTTCTGAACTTGTACCAATTTTTAAACCAGATAAACTTTAATAAATAAGTTTTAATAAATAAGTTACCTAAGAATATTTTCGGAAAATTGATCATTATTTTATAATTTACAAAACACTAGAATAACACTGTTAAGTTTTTTATAAAACTTTTTTTTTTGAAGATTAAGGCTATATAGATATAGGTTACACTATAATCAACTTAATTTAGCTTTATTTGAATAGTTTGCAATCCGAATGTCAAGGAACATCGCATGGAAATAAAATATTAAAGTCTTTATTTTTGAATAATAATTTTTAATGTAAAAAATTTCAATTCCACAAAATAAAATAATTATTATTAATTATTACTAACTAAAACATAATTACTTGTTAATTCATCTATTTTTCTTATTAGATCAATTCTATCCATGTTCCTTAAAGCTGTTTTCAACTCCTCAAGTGTTGGATTATCATTCATTTGAATCCACGTAGTTAGCATTTTATATGCTTTTTCAAGGGTATTGGGTTTATCATGATCAATTGTGTCAATACAGTTTTCTTCAATATTTAACCAAAGTCCAAGAATTTTCCAATCTACTCCAACGCTTTTACTAAAGTTTAACTTAAACTCTTGGCTATAAAGAATGTTTTCATGTTTCTTTGCATATGTATTATTTTGTGCCATTTTGATTTTTCTACAAAAAAGAAATCTATATATATATATATATATATATATATATATATATATATATATATATATATATATATATATATATATATATATATATATATATATATATATATATATATATATATATATATATATATATATATATATATATATATATATATGTACACATACCCCTGTGCATATATATATATATATATATATATATATATATATATATATATATATATATATATATATATATATATATATATATATATATATATATATACATATATATATATGAGTAGTCAGATTTTAATTACTTCTTGTCTTAAAAAAAGATTGATTCATCTGAGATTGTTCTTGCCAGACTTGTTGCAGTAGATCTTATTCTAATTTTTAAGTTAGAGAAAAGTATTAATATTAAAAATGGTTGGGCAGCATAAAACTTAAAAATTCCAAGTATTAGACATGGAATAAAAAGTATGCTTTTGGAATATTGCAAAAATGTAAAGTTTAATTTAGCTGATGACTTTGAAAAGTTGAAAAAAGCAGATACTCATTTTTCATTATTTTTAGATGAATGGACATCAAAGAAAAAACATCAGTATATGTGTTTAAACTTGCATTTTTTTAAAGGGCAGGTTCAATCTTTTAGCATCTTAAGGATTAATGGTTCTATGACAGCAGAAAAAGCACTTGAAATGATTATAAAAAAGCTTAAAGACTTTAATTTAAATTTTAAATAAGATATTCTTAGTTTAGTGACTGATGAAAACGTTTGATAAAAAAATTAGGAAAACTTTTAAATATTGTTCATCAACAATGTCACTCCCATGGTATTCATCTTACTGTTGTAGATGTACTTTACAAAAAGAAACATTTCAAAGAATTTGACACTGACAATGAACATGCGAAGTTGATGAAAGTGATGAAGATTCTGATGATGAACAGGGAATGGCAGGGAAAATTGGGCAACAACTTTTCTCCAACAACATTGTTTGAAAGAGCTTGGAAAACAACAATCAATGATTCTTGACACAAAGACTAGATGGAATTCTTTGATAAAAATGCCTTCAAGATATCTAAAGATAAAAAATGTTTTAGATTTAATTCTCAATGATCTGTCTGCCAGTGAACTAATACTCACTAAATCAGAAGTTGATCTCATAAGAGATTTAACTGATTGTTTAGAAATAATTGAAGTTGGAGTTACTGCTCTTTGTAAAAGAGATGTTGACATATTGACAACTGAAAAGGGTTTTGAATTTACTCTTTCAAAACTAAATGACAAGAAAAGTCTTGTTGGTAAAGATCTTTATACTGCTGTGTTAGAAAGAATCTATGAAAGAAGAAACTCTGGTATTAATGGACTTATTAGATATTTAGACAAATCAAATTTTTATAATAAAATTACTGAAAACTCAATCCTTTATTATCCAAAAAAGAAGGATCTTCCAAAGATAGCAAAATATCTATACAAAATACTTTTTTTGAAAGATATAATATAAAATAAAAATAGCCCATCCATTGACTCAAATAACAAGAGTGCTGCTCTAGAGTCTAAGGAATTGTTACCAAAGAAAAGGAAATTTAATGAACTTTATGAATATTTATCTGACACTGTTGTGGCTTCACTAACTAAAAATGTGTTATTATTTATAAAAAAAGAACTTGCATTGTTTAAAGCCTCTAATGATCGACCAAAAAGTTTGGAAAAGTTAAATTCAGCCCTTTCTTCTTTGCCACCTTCATCTATGGAAGCTGAAAGATGCTTCAATGTGGCTGGCTTATTCATTACTAAATCTAGAACATCCTTAAGCAATGAAATGACCGATACATTATGTTATTTAAGGTCATATTTTACCAGAAATAAATAGTTTTCATGTGTTTGGCAAAAGCAATAAGACAATTTTTAATATAATAAACTTTGTGCTAAAACAAATGTTTTAGTACAAAGTAAATTGGTGCATGGTATTGATTTAATAATTATTTGAACTTTATATTTATTATTTGAATTATTTGAGTTATTTAAATAATTTTCAAAAAATTATTTGTTATTTAAATAATTTAATTAGTCTATTATTTGACCATTCCTATAGACAACACATATTTGTAATATATATGTATATATTATTTAACAGTATATATTATTTAAAGTTTATCAATTTATACAGAATAAAAATAACTTTAGTTAATAACAATATTAACTTTTATAATAACAATAATAGAATAATATTGGCAATAAGTAATTAAATTTTTATTATTTAATATATTGCTTGTAATAATTCAATCACAAATTATATATTAAACAATTAAAATTTTTACAACTATCTAAAGTTAATTACCTTTTAATATTAAAAGACAAGGATACTTGTTTAATTCAGCCTCCCTTTTGATAACAAATGCATAAGAAGTATTATAAATCAAACACACATCCAAAATAAACACACACCCATTTTATAGGTATGTTGATTGAAAATTTTAAATTGATCAAAGGTTAGATTGTTATATATCATTAGAAAGTGCTTCAATACAGTATTTCAAAGGTGAAAAAATTATTAAAATCGGACTATTGTACAAAAAGTTATGACGTTTTTAGTCGCAAATTTTTGATATATGGATTTGTTGAAGAAACTGTGGTCAAAATTTAATTTTTCTTTACTTAAATTGTTATAACTTTGTCAATTCTTGTCTAAATACCTATAACTTAGTATCAAAAGATAGGTGTAACTGTGGGCTACAAATTTATAACATCAGCCACCTATTAAGCGTTTCCTGGGGGCTAGAGGGGGTGCCGAACCACCACCTTTACCCTGAAAATAAGCATATTTCTTTCAATAAAAAGTGTTTTTTTTCAACTAACGGTTATTTTTTTTATACAAAAAATTGCCATAATTTTATTCCAGACCATCAATGATTGATGTTTATTAAAGTTGGTGGTGGATATGGTGGTGATGGTTTAACACACCCTAATTTCAAAAATATTTAATTCTCTAATTATAAATAAGTAAATATTTCTATATTTAATAAAAAACATTAAAAAAATTTTTGCTACAAGAAATTCATTTATTGGTGGTGTGCTTATTGACTTGTGGGAGGAGCGTGTGCCCCCCCCCCTCAACCTAAAAAAATAAATAAGTAAAATAAATAAATCTTTATAATAACAATTATAATTATTTTAAAATAAGTTAACAATTTAAAACCTGAATTAGGCTTTTTGCACCAAGTATAACCTACAAGCTAAAGATAAAGACCACAACTGAGCCTACTTTTGAAAAAAAAGTCTTTCCGCTGCTATTCGTAAATTTTGGTTAAGTTGAGAAGTTTGTTAAATAGGGTGGTAATGGTTACCCACAACCTACAATAAAAAGATGTTGAATTCTTAAAAATAATTGTATCTTTAACAAACAAAATAAATTAGTATATTTCATTTTTTGATATTTCATTAAATATATTTTATTTCATTACCAAATATATCAGTGTTGTATCCTATAAAAAAATGTAACAATCAATTTTATATTGTTCTGTATTAAAACATTTTAGATATCCTAAGTTTAAATAGTTGTCTTAGCTTTTAGTAAATAATTAAAATAGTCAATATCATAAATGGAACACTAAAATAATCATTTGTAACGATAGACACCACGTGAAGATAAGCCAGAGCTGCCTATCAAAATATTTTGCAAGTCACAACACTTGTGCAAAGGTCATTCCAAGTCAAATACTTTTATTCTTCTCTAAAAACATTTATAAAAAAAAGTAAAACAAAAACATATGGTTTAATACCAGGCATACCTGACTTGATATGACTACTTCTTCAAGTTATATTACTTACAATACCTTTATACAAGTTTCATCATATGCCGTATCTGTTTTGTAAGTTTTATCACTTGCAATATCTATTTTTAAAGCTTCATTACAAGTAATATCATAAGTTGTTACATATTACACTTCAAAAAAAAATCAACTCTCCTAGTCCAACATCAGCGGAAGCTGATATTTTTTCATGTTGTAGTCAACAGCTTCAGTATCAGTATTACCTTTATTCCAGTAAGAAATTGTGCAAACTTTGTCTTGTTTTGTTTTATCAAGTTTTTCTTCTCTACCATCATACATGACATACTTTGAATACTTACTATTGTACCATTCATGGCAAAGTTTTTGCCCAACAACTCTATCTGACATTACATCATCTTAGTCATGACGTTGTTTGATAGACAATGTATTTAAACACTTTATTTCATTGTAAAAGAGTTCAAGCAACTGTTATTTTAACTTTCTTTTGTCTTTTTCATCCATTTTTTGGCATTTGCATACATGTTTTTTTGAAAGATCTGCTCATATATCATTATGCTTCATTTGATTTATCATCTCTTTTTATGGGTTTCTGAATAGATCACATAACTATATTTTTATGGGTTTCTGAATAGACCACATAACTACATTTTTATGGGTTTCTGAATCAACCACATAACTACATTTTTATGGGTTTCTGAATCGACCACATAACTACATTTTTATGGGTTTCTGAATCGACCACATAACTATATTTTCTCTAGATAATTGATCTAAACTTTCTAGGTAATTTAATTTGTATGAAACATAACAAACTGTTGCATTAGGTGATCTTTCTTCAGCCTCACTAAACATTCCCATTAACTCTTCACTATTTATATCGTGCTGCCTTGCACATGCTACTTCCTCCTTGAGAGTCTGGTTAATAGAAAGTGAGAAATATCTCTTACATTGATGAGTTATGACGTCTCCTACTGCAATGAGACAAGCAAAAGTCATATTGATAAAGTGTTCATCAATCAAACAAAACATTTTTTATTGGATCTAAAATATTTGGTTCAAGGTCATTTTAAAAAGTGAACCTGGATTTGATTTAGAATCTGCAATTTTTAGTAAAATATTTTTTAATACCAGGATTCCACTATAATAGTCAAAATTTGCCTCCTCAACAGTCACACAAAATTTTGTCATCCAGGCTGGAAACTGGATGACAAAGTTTTATGTGACTTTGAGGAGGTGGTTTTCCAAATAATGCAAGCACACATTTTTGCTTTAGAGCTGTTTTGTTACAAAATACTGCTCTAAGAACTTTTTGTATAGTTCTGCATATTACTGTTCCAATGGATAAAAAAATGCTCAAACTCATTAAATGTTTTATAAAAATAAAACAAGTATGAAAATAAATATGAAGACGATTTCCTCGATACCTTGGAATGATACCTTGTGGTAGTTTTTGATCATCTAAAAACTAACAAATCTTTTTGAATCACCTTTGCCATGTTTAAACCTCAACTTGTTCATAGCCAAAACTATTTTAAATGCCATACAATCATACCCAGCCATGAGGTAGCAATTATATTAAGAGTGTGTAAATGGCAGTTTAGCTCATTCAAACTTTCCTCTTAAATGTCACACAGTTTGCTTATGGTAAGATGGTTAATTGCAACTTTGGCTGACATTACGTTTGATATATTTGAGATGATTGATTGATCACTATCATTAAAAGATGCTAAATGAAAATCTAAATAAAAGTTACAAGATCAACTGCTTTACATATATGCAAGCAAATATTCGTAACTAGCTATAAGCATTTTATTTGCCTTAATATTATGTACAACTTTAACTTATTTTAGCTTTTAAAGTTCTGAAATTTTCATTGCTTTTTTTTTAAGCTTTAAGATTGCATATTATCTTACTGTAATAATATGTCTGCAAATTTTGTTTAAGATCTCTAAGTTCAGCTCTTAAAACTTTAACAATTTGTTTCTTTTATGTAATTTTTGTCTCAGTACTTTCAACTTGTATGCCATGCTTTTTAATTTTGCCGTCACTATTACTAATTTATTTCAATACTTGCTGGATGTAACAGCAAGCTGAGAAGTAAAATAGGACAATCTGGTATTCAAACCTTTTTTTTCTAGGGCTTATTTCTCCTCTTGATTCATGCCTATTCATTGTTAACAGAATGTTTGGAAAATAAAGGCTTGTGATTTAGTGGTGATAAATTACTTATGTGCTCAAGTGGTGAATTATCTAAACTACTTAAAACAGTAGTTAGAGAACTACTTGGAGGGACATGATGATAGAAAGATGGGCAAAATTTGTGCAATGCATATACAGGGTTAATTACAAAATTCCTTAAAACAACAACTATCCCTTGTAAAGTTGCAAAACCAACTTTTGCATCTTTTCAAAACCCTAAAGAAATGAGGTTTACAAATGTTTAAACTAAATAATAGTTATAACAAATGACTGTTAATGAATAAAAAAGATACATATCTATTTTTACAACAACTGCAAGTTTTGGCAGATAAAAAGAAGTGTGTATTTAAATACTCTTTAACTGTACTAAGAACAAAAATTAAAGTTGCTTATTGTGCCTATTGCCGGGGCACAAAAAGCAACTTTATCTACAAAAAAAAATGTAAAGAAAGTCTTGAAATAACTACCGAATAATGATATAACATTAAATTATAAACAATATTATACTTTTATTATTAAAAACATTTTTAATAATACTGTATTATTGCGTAATTAAAAAATACTATTTATACACACAGACAAAAATGCTAATGTATACTGACATCATAAAACATGTGATAATATAAAGAGTTTTTAAAATACCATCATACCTATAGCTAGAATTATAGTAATCAACGCTTATGTTTTCAATTTCAATGAAACCAATAAAATTTTAGAAACTATAAACAAGTCACACTAAAATAAATAGTAATTTTCACTTTTAAAATAAAATAAACTAGTTAAAATATACAAACTAATATTAATTAATATAAAAAATCTAATAAACTACTGAAAAAATAAGAAAAAGAAAAAAACATCTTATTGGCAGTCTATATCTAATTGTATTAATATATATATATATATATATATATATATATATATATATATATATATATATATATATATATATATATATATATATATTAGGTACGTGGACTGATTTTTTTAAATTAATTAAATACTAGAATATTATATTTCATTAGAAAGCCCTTTAATACAGTATTTTAATGGTGAAAAAATTATGAAAGTCGGACAATTCTATAAAAAGTTCTGGCGTTTTTAGTAGCAAATTTTCGATATATGGATTTATTGAAGAAACTGGTTCCAAAATTATTTTTTTTCCCACTAAAATTGTTATAACTTTGTCAAATCTTATCCAAATGTCTATACCTTGGCATCAAAAGATAGATGTAAGAGTAGGCTACAAGTTCATATAACTCTATAGATGAAAGGGGCGTCTAGAGGACCGGAGGGGGTACCGGAACACCCTCGTACCCTTAAAAAAAGACAAGTTTTTCACACGAAAGAGTGTTTTTCTGATAAAATATGTCATCTTTATACACAAAAAAATTGTTCCAATTTGCTTCCAATCCATTTCCAAATATTAGTGGTCTATTTTAGATTAAAGTGTTGCTGTCTTTGTTACGTTTTAACACCCTCGTAGTGAAATGCTACATTGTTATAAATATTTGAACCTAAAAAACAATGATTATATTTTGTATGAAAAATTTTAAATTAAATTTTCTTACTTTACAGCATATACAAGTGGTGTATAAGTTGACATAAGGGACGGGACATGTGTCACGCCAAACGCCCCCCTTCCTGCCCAGTTGTATCCAACCTAAAAAAAAAATTTTAAAAGATATTTGAAAAATAGTTTTAAATTAAGTTTATTGGAAAAGAGAAACAAGTATTCAAGATTATTATAATATGTTAGTACAGTTAGGAATGTGTGCTACACCCAACGCCCCCTCCCCTTCTCATTCAAACTTGCAAAAAATGTCAATAAAAATTTTGTAAATGTTTTTAAATTATGTTCATTTAAAGAGACATAACTTTTCTAATCTTACCACATTACAAAATGCAAGTTGGAGTATCCACCCTAAAAATAGGCCAAAGATAAAACTAATTTTAAAACTTATATTTTAAAAAGTTTCAAAATACAAAATATAATAAATTTAAGTCTTGGCTTTTAGTAAATGATATTGTTTAAAATTCCGAGAAGGAAACTAAATTCCTCCTAACTGGACCCATCGCTTAAATGAACTATTGCTGGTGGGTCCAGGATGCTGGGACCTATATAATAGGTAGTCTTGATAGGTTAGCTCTAAATGACAATGATTTGTTAATAGATTAGTACTGAATGGCATTATGTAAAATTTAATATAAAACAATTAATTGAAAAAGTGATAGGCTGAATAAATAATATGAACAACGTATTAATCAATTATAACTTAAACAATATTAATGAGAGTAATAATTTCATTCTGCTGCACTTTGAGGGATAACACAATACTAATGCATTAAATAGTGTATATAAATATAAACATAAATTCAATAATCATTAAGAAACATTTTTAAATCATAAATTTACCAGCAGAAGGTTGAATACCTGGAACTAAAGATAAAAAAAGTTTCTATAAAAATTTGCAATTGATAAGAAAGGTGAGTAAACATTTGCAAATAATAGTTTATAAACTTACTAGTTATAGTAGGTGCTGAAGATGTAACTAAATATTATCAAAGTTGTAATTAAAAATAATTACTGAAATTGCCAAGATATGTATAAACATTTTGAAAAGTAAAAATTAGTTAACATACCCCTTATAGCAGATGTAGAAGGAACTAAGGTTAAGAATTATTTAATAAAAAATTTATACTGCAGTCATCAAAAATATATACACATATTAAAAAGTAATAATTGTTAAATTTACCATTTGTTGAAGATAAAGATGTAACTTAAATTCAAAATTTGTAATAAGAAACAAATATTGCAAATAAGGACTTTGAAATGGGTAATCTTTCAAATTTATTTACAGAATAAAAAGTAATAGCTAATTCTATAATCATTAGCATATACAAACTGATAAAATCTTACCAGTGATGGGCTGTGTAGATTCGACTAAAAATAACAAAAACTTTGTGCACAAAATAATTTAAAATTGTCAACAGTAAGTTACAAATGTTAAAAGCTGTACTAAAGTTAAAAGATTTTCTACTTAAGATGCAACAACTATACTAAAAAAATGAAAATAAACAACTAAATATAGCTATTAAAATATAAAGATAATATATTTATAAGCAACAAGTTAACATTAGGAATGGTTATAAACTTATGTGAACAATAAACACATAAAAAGATGATATACAATAAGTAAAAAAATTAACTCTAGTTTTTTTAAGACTTACTATAGATAGGAAGATATTATAAATGTTTATTAATATTTACTTATTGTATACTTTATCTCTTAGTGAATATTAAATTTAAACTTTATGTGATTTATACTTACGAAACTTCAAAAAATCAACAAAAAGCTGGGCAGGATCTAAACAAGAAATAAATATTAGACATGCTTGTATAATGATCACTAATCCATAGATAAAGAAGTATATAATCCAAATATGGTAAAAGACAATAATAATGATATCTTTTGTTATATTTTAAAAACAATAAGAAGCTTTTTGTTAAGATTAACGTAATGAAGTATGTAATAAAATTGTTTATATGTAATGTTTTAATAAATTGTGAACTGAATCTAACAAGTGACAATCAGTTTTAATAGGCTATTATAAACCACATATAAATGAGTAAATTACATACTGCATTAGTGTAAGCCTAACAAAAAAAATTTTTAGTGTTTAAAAAAATTAAAACTGTGACTATGAATTATTCAATGAATACCAACAGTTTTAATCTTAAACATTAATCTTTTTTAATATGTTACATAAAAAACAATGAAGGTTTTACATTAATCATTATTTTTTGGAGTTAAAAAGTTATTAATACTATTATTAAGAATAAAAAAAAATTGAACTTACTTTCTGTTAGGGCATCTAACACACTCTTGCTATATGTTGCCATATTTTTTTAAATCTAATAATATATATCACAATAATTCAAAATAAGATTTTTAGTTGAAACGCCCCCTTACCCGGATTTCGGCGCCTACCGGATTTTGCTTACCAAAAAAAACAACAACAAAAAAATGGAAATTAGGTACCTTAAGTCCAACACTAATTAGACTAATTGCTTATCCTTATTTTTTGATGAAATTTGGCATGTTCATAGAAAATGCATGAAAAAAACTATTTTAATAATAAAAAAAGCAGACTCTACATTTCTTCAACTACAAATCTATGTTACAACATCAGCCAAATTTCCATGCAAAATTCTCAGCAAAATACTCCATAAAAAGGTATGTTAGCAATACACAAAAGTTTATATAAATCAAGCCAAATCTTTCTTCTTTCAAAAGTCGTCAAGGTTAATATATGTTTCTAAAAATAACCACCTCAAAAAACCGTTTGCCTAGGGCTACCTGAAAAAAGTGGTATACTTGGTATAACACTAATTAGACTAATTGCTTATCCTTATTTTTTGATGAAATTTGGCATGTGCATAGAAAATGCATGAAACAAGCTATTTTAATAATAAAAAAAGCAGACTCTACATTTCTTTGACCACAAATTCATGAGAGAACATCAACCTAATATTCAGGAGCAAAATATTCCATAATAAAGTTTAGTAACCATACATAAAAGTATTTCAAAAATCAAGATTAACTTTTCTTCTTTCCAAAAAGTATCTATGTCTATATATGTTTCTAAAAAGAAACTACTTAAAACTACGTCTGCCTCACGCTGCATAAAAAAGAGTGAAAAAAACGAGAACCAAAATTTTAGCATAAAAATCGGTTCCGTAAATCGCGATTTCCGCGTACCTATATATATATATATATATATATATATATATATATATATATATATATATATATATATATATATATATATATATATATATATATATATATATATATATATATATATATATATATATATATATATATATATATATATATATATATATATATATATATATATATATATATATATATATTCATATATATATATATATAAAATTATATATATATATATATATATATATATATATATATATATATATATATATATATATATATATATATATATATATATTCATATATATATATATATAAAATTATATATATATATATATATATATATATATATATATATATATATATATATATATATATATATATATATATATATATATATATATATATATATATATATATATATATATATAATTTTATATATATATATATATATATATAATTTATCTATATCTAACCAAATAAAATTCAACTTGTTTGTACCCCTCTTACCACCCACTTACGGAAATCAGAAAAACAGAAATGAGGTACCAAAACTGCTCACTTTTATAGACTATCTGCTCAATAATATTTTTCAATGAAATTTGGTAGGTAGATAAAAAATATATGTAAAAAACTATCTGGGTAGGTTTGCAAACTATCTGAGCATTTCTTTGACAATAATTTAATGTGAGAACAACAACCAAGTTTTTAATACAAATAAACGCAATACAAAAATTACCAACCACACATAAATGTTATATATTAATCAAGTTTAACTATTCTTTTTTTCAAAAATAATCTAAGTTTAGTAATGTTTCTAAACAGAAACGTCACAAAAAAACGTTCGCCTGACGTTACCTAAAAAAAAGTTCAAAAAACCTGGCACAAAATTTTAGTACAAAATTCGGTTCCGTAAAACACGGATTTCTGCGTACCTACATTTTATTCATGAATTTTTAGATTTTCATTTTTTAATAAAACGCTGACTATGAAAGTTAAGATTTTATTAGTAATACTTTTAGATTATTTTTTGGGATTAGATTATTTTTCGGGGTCTGTGTTTTATCAAGTTTTTAAAGTCTTATTTTCAATTATTTTAACGGGACGACTGAATAAGCGCGAATTTCGTAAATGCAAACTGGAATGGCGTAGGCGCGAACTGGCATAAGCGCGAATTGGCATGTGGCATAAGTGCGAAGCGTTGCAAAAACTGGCAAGAGTGCAAACTGGCATAAGTGCGAATTGGCATAAGTGTGCCAAACAAATTTGCAAATTTTGACATAAGTGCGAATTGGCATAAGTGCGAACTGGCATATCCGATCCAAATAATATTTATTACAAAACACGCATAAAACTATTTAAATTTAGTTTGGCTTGCGGTCAAATGCGCCTTTTCTAATGATAATTTTAAGGCCGATTTTCCCTTTTTTTTATTTACGACAGCAAGTAAGAAATTAATAAACAGGGGGGGGGGGAGTAAATAAACTTGGGGTGGGTGGAAAAAATTTTCCAAAAATTAATAAAGGTTTTCCATTCCATTTTATAAGTCTGGCTTTTTTTAATAGCTACTATTTTTCTTTTTATTATAACCATTTTTTGGTCACTATCTATATTTTTGTTTTGCTGTTTGTTTGTTTTTTGCTTTAATTGTTTATTTTATTAAAGTGTCACTCCAATGACTAGTTTTAAGTATTTTAACTATACAAGTGACACCAAACCTAATTTTGTAAATTTATAAATAAATTTGTAATTTTATTTAATTTATGGTTAAATAAATAAATTAAAAAAAAAAAAAAAAAAAAAAATGTATATAAAAATATTAATATTATTTGAAAGACGATTTATATAGTGCTGCATTTTGAAAACTGCCCCAATGTCAGCCTTATTTGAAAATTCATTTTCATTTACATTAGGGCATTTTGAAAAATGCCCCAATGTCAATAAAAAGGCGATGAATACTGATTTCACTCCTTAATTAAAAAATATAATTTGTTAAATCTTGAACCAAATAATGTTATCAACACCAATAGATTTGTTCGGGTTCAAACCATTTAAATAGGCTAGCGTTGCTTCAAAACTTTTTATTACATCGCCTAAGTCTTCTTGATTATGTCTTCTCTCAAAAACCGGTAACTGATCATTTATGCTATCATCAACAAAAACTGATTTAAAGTGTTCGTTAAGTCTGTTTGCGATATGTATTGCCTCTGTTAACGTTTTACCTTTTGCATCTGATATAGCGCCAATAGATACATGTACGTTCTGTTGCGCTTTAGCATAAGCATACATTCTTTTTGGATTATTTTTATCTGATGCCAGTTGGGCTTCAAATACTCGAACACGATGTGTACATGCTTTCTGAACTTGGCTTCTTAGTTTCTTATATTCACAAATGAGGGTCGTTGATCCCCAGTTTGTCATAGATAAGTAATTGCCCAGTTGTTGTTTTTTCTTTATCATAACTAATACTTCCTTATTCATCCACGGTGCATTACGAGTAGAATGGACTTTTTTTAATGGGATGAATTGCTTGCTGAGTTTATCATATTTATTGCAGAAAAGTTCATAGCATTCGTTAGTGTTTTTATTTTCAAATAATTGCTGCCAGTTAGTTTCCATAATCTTTTTACCGAAGTTTTTATAGTCACCCTTATTAAAATCATATTTTTTGTTTGAGAAAGTTGTCCTATTTTTAGAAAGGACGACATAATCCCAACTCAATATGCGATGACCTTGTGACAAATCACCTAACGGCATAGAGCTAGATAAATTGATTACTCTAGTTGAAGAGTCTGTAATAATTAAATCCAAAACATTTTTTGCATTTCCATTAGATGCTTCGAAGGTTGAGAAATCAACTAATTGTTCTAGATTATGATTAGCCAAAGTTACAAGAAAAACACTTGCAGCACTATTTTGACCGCTTAGTAATTCAATTCTTTCGTCATTATGCCATTTAATATCCGGAAAGTTGAAATCACCTGCTAATAACATACAACTATACGCTTTTCTATCAACAGCTTGCTTAGCTGAAATAATTGTTTTATTTCTATCATCTATATGGGATAAAGGTGGTCTATAGACACACCCAATAAGAATCATTTCGTTAATGATTTTAATTTCGCACCATATTTGCTCGGAGTTGCTGTTGTTTAAAGTCTCTCTTAGATGACAATCAGATACCTCATGCGCAACTAAATCACGCTTAATGTAGATAGCAACCCCTTCACCGTGACCTATTCTCTTTTTTTTCACTAGTGAATAGTTATTTAATTGAGTGGCAGATGTTTCAGTAAACCATGTATCAGAAATAAAGATTAAATCAGGCATGTTTATACCACAGAGTGCAGATAACTCGTTCATTTTAGTCGGAATAAGAGAAGTTGCGTTAGTATAAAAACATTTTAAAAGTTTATTTTTAGGGTTAGATTTTATTTTTGTAGTTAATGCATTTAAATAAGTATTCACAGTTAAACGATTTGATTCATTGTGTTTTAGCAATTCTGGCTGCTTGTGCATTTTTCCATTCGATGGATTGATGTCCTGCGAGACATCAATGCATCGCAATTTATCGCTGCGGATAACAAATCTTAAGGTTTCAAGTTGTCAAGTTTCAAGGTGCCAAGTTTTCCTAGCTTGTCAAGGTCAGAATTAGCTGCTTTTTTTTCTAAGTTTAATTTAATAAATTTGTTTTGCTCTGCTGCTGTGCGGTCAGGGCGTATAATAATATCTTTAAAAGTACCCAATGCCAGTTGTTTAGCCGACGCTAGAACGTCATTTCTGATAAATACTGAATCAACTTCAATCATAAGAGGAGCGGGTTTACTAGAATCAAAGTTCTTTTTTTTTTTGAAACGTTCAATTCTAACTACATTGACTGATTTACTTAAAGATGCAATAACCTTCTTGAATTCCGCGGTAGGTATAGGTAGAATAGGTAGAACAGCTAAAAAAAAGATGATGATGGGACAGAATGACAAAAAAACGGAAAAATACAGAAAGGTTGAGGTATATTTCCCTATTGAAGTACCCAATGAGGAATTTAGAGGAATTCAGAAACAGCTTCCATCTAATGGTGATATTCTAAGATACTATCAATTTATCCTTCGCGAGTCTCAGTTTAAATACATACCCACTTCTACTAATGTTGGTTGCAAATTGAAATTGAAATCCAAGGATCTTGTTTGTGAAAATGGTGTTTTTACAGATCTTGATAATTTTTGCTTGGTAACTAGGTTTAAAAAAATTTAAGATAATGCTGGGTTGGAAAAAAATTTGTAATTTCATTTTTTAACAAATGTCTTAAAAGATTTATATATTTTTCAGTTTTTATGAAGACCAGATGTTGGATAGGAAAGGATATATGGGAACAAAAGTCGATAAAGGCTTTTTTCAATGATTTTCTTGTACCTATGGATAATTGCATTTGCTCTGACGAGTTATCTCCAGAATTATCTTTTGAGGAATTTGAAGTAGCTTTGAATTCTGTGAAAAGAAACAAAGCAACAGGAGCAGATGAAATTAATGGAAACGTAATTATAGATTGTTTCGATATATTAAAACATATTCTTTTTAATGTTTTTAGAGCTTCTATAAATCAAGGAATTTTTCCAGAACAATTAAAAGTTGCTAAAGTTACTTCTATCTTTAAAGAAGGTGACAGATCAAATATTAGCAACTATCGACCCATTTCTGTTCTTTCGGTATTTTCAAAAGTTTTAGAAAGAATAACGTCTAATAGAATATACAAACATCTTAACAAAAATAACTTACTGTACAACAAACAATTTGGTTTTAAAAAAGATAACTCAACAGAGCATGCAATAATCCAGTTTGTGCATGAAATCTCAAAATCTTTTGAAAAATCACAGTACTTGTTAGGTATCTTTATTGACCTATCAAAAGCTTTCGACACGGTAGATCATCACATTCTGCTTTAAAAACTTGAATATTATGGAATTAATGGTATTGCCTTAAAATGGTTTAGAAGCTATTTAACAAAAAGAAAACAATTTGTAATTAGTAACGACGGCTATCAAAATAATTGTCTTGATATCGTCTGCGGTGTTCCTCAGGGTTCAATCCTCGGGCCCCTACTTTTCTTGATATATATAAATGATCTGAACAAAGCTTCTAACCTTATAAGCATTATGTACGCAGATGATACCAATCTATTCCTCTCAAACAGTAATATATACGAACTCTTTACTACTATGAATAAAGAATTAAAACATATATCAAACTGGTTTAAATGTAATAAGCTAACTTTAAATATTAATAAAACCAAATGGACTCTATTCCATTCGCATGCAAAAAAGCGATTTTCACCAATAAATTTGCCGCAACTTTTTATTGACGAAATTAAAATAAAAAATAATTCCGTTACAAAATTCTTAGGTGTTTATCTCGATGAAAACATCTCCTGGAATCAACATATTAATTATATATCTACTAAAATTTCAAAAAACATCGGGATTCTATATAAAGCTCGTAACTACCTAAATAAAAATTGCTTAAAACAACTTTATTACTCTTTTATCCACAGTTACATAAATTATGCCAACACTGCTTGGGGGAGTACTGTAAAAAGTAAGTTAAAACTTCTTTATCGTCGTCAAAAACATGCGTTCCGCATAATTAACCATGCCGATCGTTTTACACACCTAAAACCTCTTTTTACTGAAATGAGATTGTTAAATTTATTTGAACTCAATGTAATTAAAGTTTTATGTTTTGTATATCTATGGAGAAATAATAAATCCCCTACCGTTTTTAATAATACTTTCAAACTCAAACCTAACAACAAATACGACATGAGAAACATAAACTTTTTAAAAGAACCATTTTGTCGCACAAAATTTAATCAATTTTGCATTGCTTATCGTGGACCCCACCTATGGAATAACATAGTTTTGCAGAATTTTGGTTTACCAACTTCCTTTTACCTTTTCAAGTTCAATCTTAAAAAATGTATTATTTCACTTGATAATATACTCAGATACTTCTAATATTTTGAAAATTGTTATACAACTTGAATTCAGTACTTTCTTTATTTTAATTTTTACTTTCTTTTTTAGTATCTTATACTGGTATTTATTTTGCTTGTTTGTGCTTTATAAGGTTCTGATGACAAGATCTTGTGATCTTCTTTCAGATCCTAGCTTATGTTTCATTGTAAGCAGTTTATGTATGTGCGCATCTACGCTTTTGTATGTGTATATATGCTTATATTTATATATGTATGTCCGTATTTTTTCTTATTTTAATTTAGTTGATGAGGGTTAAAATTTTTTTTTTTTTTTTTTCAATTTTGCTTACATTAAAATGTCAAAGTACAATTATATATGCCATATATATCGTGTTACAATTAAATTCGTGTTACAATATTTATCAACTAAATTAAAATAAGAAAAAATACGGACATACATGTATAAATATAAGCATATATATATGCTTATATTTATACATGTATGTCCGTATTTTTTCTTATTTTAATTTAGTTGATAAATATTGTAACACGAATTTAATTGTAACACGATATATATGGCATATATAATTGTACTTTGACATTTTAATGTAAGCAAAATTTATAAAAAAAAAAAAAAAAAAAAAAAAAAATTTAACTTTTCTATTGATTAGCTAGTTAATTGTGATAAATTAGAAAATTGATGTACATATTTTTATATTGAATCTTCCTCCAAAATACTCTTCCTCCAAAAAAAAACGCTTCCTCCAAAAAAAAACTTCCTCCAAAATATTCTTCCTCCAAAAAAAAACGCTTTGGTACGTTTTATGAAGACCTCCCTCCTATGAGCGCGCTCATAGGAGGGAGGTCTTCATAAAACGTATAACTTAGGGATTGTTCATAAATTAACTTAGGGATTGTTAAATAAATTAACTTAGGGATAACTTAGGGATTGTTCATAAAGTACGTACGCTCGAGCGTACGTACTTTATGAACAATCCCTAAGTTTGTTGTACACACCCTAGTGGAAAAATTTCTCACGAAAAAAAAGTACACCAGAAACGGATTGCATTTTCGAAACCACCATACCTTGTTCTGTTATGACCTAGATTTTGAAAAAAATTCTGTCGACATCTTCCAAAAAAAGGGGGCTTAAACGGGAGGCCATGATTTTTTGATGTTCAAAATAGGTAACTTCCAGAGATTGTGCAAACTTCAAATTTTTAATATTGACACTGGTATCAAATAAGAAAGTTTTACACAAAAATTACAATGATAGGAGCCTGGGAACAATATTCACCTGAATAATCAGAATCAACTGTTTCAAATGTGGAAACAAGAAAATATATTTTTTTTTTTTTTTTGCAGTATCCTTAAAAAGATAAAAATTCATCGGGAAAATTAATTTATCTTTTATATTTTTATATTAAAAAAGTTTTTATACTTTTATATAAAAAATTATCTATTTGTTTTATCCTCTGTTTAAGGCATCTAGGAACCTTGTATCCACCCTCCCAAAACTGCTTAAAAATCATAATGAACAGATTCAGAAGCCTGTTCAGACCAAAAACTTAATCTGTTATTCGTATTGGAATTTTACATAAATGAATTCACATGTATGTTTGATAAGAGCATGCACTTTCAGTGGCAATCGAAGACCAAGTTTAACATAAGCATCTTTGTATTCGTTAATGGTTGACTCATATTCAGGTAACAAACTAAAGCAAGAAACACAACTTTAACAGATTAAAAACATTCAAAGTAATTCACTCTTAAAATAATATGTTCATCTCTTTCCAGTTTGGAAGATTTTATTAATTCTTTTAACACATGAATATTTTTTATTAGTTTAAATGTTAGTTACCAGTTTTGAACAATCTCCATCTTTAAGTTGACCATTATGCAGCTTAGGCCTTTAAAAAATTAAAATTTGGTTCCACTAGTTTTCCAATAAGGTAGTATCCACTGTTTGATCTGCCTGATGACATAAATTCTTGAATGGAACTCTATTTACTTTGAGGAAATGCAAACAGATCTTTATGAAAGGCTTTGTAAGCTTTAGCTAATGAACGCATTTTTTCTTTGCTATTACACCAAAGTCAAGGATGTGTTGATGCCGCACATTCCAAAATATATTGACCAATTTTATATCAAATGCATAAAAAGTATTTTAAACTATTTAGCTTTAAAATAGTGATAATTTTCTCAAGATTTGAATAAGATTAAGCCACGTTTCCTGTTTTAAGCCAATTACAAACAATTTGTTAACGCCACCATCTTGGTATTTTTTACCTATATAAACTTTTTTTTTTTTGACATTACATTCTGTCACCTTTTCTATAACATTTAAATAAACTTTTAAAATTTCGTCTTCAACATCAATACCCACCTTTAAAATATAATCTTTTGACAATTTTCTCTCCTTTATTATTGTCTTAACAAGTCCTTTAATGTTTTTACAATAAACCAACTGTCTGCAATCTTTTTTAAAAAAAACCTATCTACTTCACTTAATTTTTCTCTTACATTTCTTTTAAATAATTTTCTTCCCCGCCAGCTTCAAAATATACAAAGAACTTTGGCTGATGACAACCTTATAACTTTTAAACATTTTTATTTTTCCAGGTGATGATGACTTGACTCTTCTCTATTTTTAGATGTTGATTTTGAAGTAATTGTAGTTTGTGCAATTTTACAAATGTCACAAACACAGAATAATTGGTTTCTGGTAAGTATACTTTGACTTTTGAGAGTTTATACGGTTTACTCAAAATAATGTTTTTATCTCCTTTTTCAAGTCTTTCTAATGCTTTTCTACTTTAGTACAAATGTAATTTAGTGCTAATGTACTTTAGTACATAGGAAAGTTTTCATTCTTCAAATCAAATGATTTTAAAAAAGACTTATGTGTTCTGTTCAATATCACACTTCCTTCTTTAATTTTCATCATTCTTGATCCTTTTAAAAAACAAATTAAGCAGACTAAAGCTCTATTATCTTTTTGAGAATTTTTAATATTTGGCATTTTAAAACGATATGAGCAATACTAACCAATTTTTAAATTTTTTTTATTAACTTTTGCAGCAGATAAAAAAAGTTCATAGAATCTATTATTAAATTTTTTTGCGCTATACCAAAAGGAAATATATAAAAAAAAAAAGAAATGTTGTTTATACATTTAACTTGTAATGGAAACGCTTTTTTAACGCAATTCACGTATTGTTTAAAACTTTCCATAAAAATAGAGCCCTAAACTCCAAATATTTTTTGGGGAAGGGGGCAATGATATTAAAAAAACTGGGGGGGGCAATGATATATTGTTTGATGTTTTCAAAAAAGTGGGCAATGATATATTGTTTGTGGTTTTCATCACGAACGGACGTGTTTTTGCTACGAGAAATTTAACAAAGGAAAAGTATACATAAATATATTAACAAAAAAAAATTATTATTTTATAATAAAATTAATACTTTAAACAAATATTTAAATTATGGCAGTAACACTTGTAGAAATTAAAAAAATGATAAAAGATTTGTTTTCAAAGTACAAAGTAGTAACGGAAGCTGCGCTAAAGCAACAAGAAAACAATTTTATAAATATAGTTAGTGCAAACACCAAAATATTAAACAAGAGATTGGACAAAGTAGAAAAAAGTATTTTGGATAATGCTAAAAAAATATCCACACTTGCAACAGAAGTTGAAGAAATAAAAGTAAGTTTAAATTTTTATGAGGAACTCATTGAAAACAAAATTAAAATCGCGTTAGATATTTTCATGAAAAGTAAATGTACTCCTAACGAAATTCAAAATAACAACACTGAGCTCAAAAAGATAAATAGTAAGCCAAGAGAAATAGAAGATAGATCAAGAAGGAATAATTTAAGAGTTGACGAAGTTAAAGAAGATGATAATGAAAGCTGGTTGGAAAGCGAGTTAAAAGTAAAAACAATATTTGACGAATACTTGGGTATAAAAAATGTAAAAATTGAAAGAGCGCATAGAGCTGGTAAGGTAGGTATAAAAGAGCACAGAACAATTGTTCTGAAATTATTGGACTTTAAAGATAAGGAGGCAATTTTAAAAAACTCTTCAAAGTTAAAAGGAAAGAACATTTTTATAAACGAAGATTTTTGCACAAATCGAATTAGAAAGGATTTACGAGAGAAAATGAAAATTGAAAGACAATCGGGAAAATTTGCGTATATTTCCTACGACAAGCTTATTGTACGCGAGTGGAATGCAAAAAAAAAGTAATTTTATCTTCTTTTTTTAACCTTTTTTATTTACGTTATATTTTAAATTTTTAATGTTTTATTGAATATATATATATATATATATATATATATATATATATATATATATATATATATATATATATATATATATATATATATATATATATATATATATATATATATATATATATATATATATATATATATATATTATATTAAACAAAAAAGCTTTAAAATGAATCCAAAAACGGATAAATACAAAAATCTTTTCGAAAACATTTCAGATATGGTATTTAAAATAAATGATCAAAACACTTTTAATAAACATGACCCAGACAACAGCTTTATTGATAACTTTTCATTAATGAATATGGAAACACCTTATATGTTTCCGCATGAAATAAAAAAATATTTAAAAGAAGTTGAGCCTTATGAGGGTCTGTCTCTTATTCATCTTAATATAAGAAGTGCTGAAGCAAATTTTGAAAACTATAAAATATTCTTAGAAGAAAGCAATTTCATTTTTAATATTATTTGTTTAAGCAAAACATGGTTAACTGATGACGAATTTAACGAAAGCGTGCGTTTTCAATTAAATAATTATGAAGGAGTGCATTTGCAAAGAAAATCAAAAAATAGAGGCAGGGGTGTTGTAATTTACATTAAAAATAGTTTGCGGTATAAGTTACGAAACGATCTATGCATATCTGATTACGACAGGGAATTTGTTTCTATTGAAATCATTAATAATGGCTTTAAAAATACCATAATATCATGCTGTTATAAACCACGGCAGTTTCAAATTGATACTTATTAGAACTTTATTCTGAGCATGCGTAGTGAACAGTTGCAAAACATCAGAAATTCGATGATTTTTTGTATAATTATTTTCTTAAGCTCAGCTACTCTAACTTGAATTTTTTTATGTTTAATATTTCAAACTTTTTGTAAAACGTAGCGATTTGCTTTAGAGTTGGCAGATACATCTTTATATTATAAATTTTGTTGTTGAAATTATGTTTTTTAACGAAAACTTTTAAATCAAAAGGTGATATTTTTTTCTTGAAATGTTCTGTTTTTTAATCAGCTATATTACAATAAAACGAATTTTCTGTAGCTGAAACTAATTTGTTTTGTTTTCTTCATTTTATTGATCTCTTTTTAAAGTTGATTCTAGAGACCGGTAATTTTTTTTAAAGGCACATTTTTTATTTATCTGACGTAACTGCTTTATTTAGAAATCTTTTAAACATGGACCATGCAACCAAATTAAATCTAATTTGTAGAATATGCAGAGAAGATATAATAAAAGATCCAGTTGATATAAATAAATATTCCGAAAGAATCGAAAATTCCTATTATATAAACACCAGCATTGATAATAAGAAAATTCACCCACAAAAGATGTGTAATAAATGCTATACCAATTTAAGGAACATTGAAAAAGGTTCAAGTTCTAGTATTAAACCAGTTGATTGGCCTTTACCATGTGCAGGCAATTGTTCTTGTTTCCCCAAAGTTGTTGGAAGAAAAGTTA